ACATTATACTCTATTGTCTTCTCTCTCTACAGTTGCCTTAAAACACACAGCTGGTTCAAATGAGCAATAGCACCTCTTCCAGTGTAAATGTACAGGAGGGTGGCTGCTACCAAAGGCTTTGCTTTCCTTTCCTACACCTGTGACTACCAGAAAATGTGCGAAATGAGACTCCTCAACTCCTACACAGCACAAAATTCTGTCCTTGATGCCCTGCAGATCTTGAGACATGGAAAGGACAACTGGCACGAAGACATCTCAAAGATCACAAACAAAGACCAAAAAAAAGAAAGAAAAAAAGATAGAAAAAAAACACACAAACATTATTTTTATGCAGAGTCCACAGTGCACAAGCCCATGGCAGCTCAAAAAAAAACCAACTAAAATAATTGGGGGTTCGCGTGACGTTAAACATACCTACGGCATGAATTTTCTTTGCTGAGACAGTATAGGCTTTCCCATGACAAGCGTAAATATTTCTATATTCTAGCTGCCATGTTGGACTGATGAGGAGTTGCTCTGATCTTCTCAATGACCTTCACTGGAGAACCCTAACTCTGAATATGACCCAATTGCACAGGGAAGTTACTAATCCCTACCAGTTGCAAGCAGTGAATCCATAAGCTCACATTCCAGCATACAAGAATTTAGATAAATTAAAAAACCTGTAGTTCTGTAGAAACTTGTTTCTGAGTAACACAATGGCATGTGAACCAGTAGTGGAGTTCAACAGCAAGACTCTGTCCTGACAGTTACCAACCCGTTTGCCCATTGTACCAAGCAAGGTTGAGGAGTTCAAGGAGCAAAGAACAAGAAAAGGGTTTTTAAATGTTTGGGCAATAGATTTGTACTGAGCAAAATACACTTGCTTCCACTGCAGGCACAACTCCCACAGACACAAAAATACGCTGCTTTTTTTTTTTACCTCCTGTATTCAGCAGTGTGTTTAACCTTGGAGCTGTCAAGCTCCATCATTAATAATGAGCCATGACAACACTCCAAGTGATCCTTGGAGAACCAAGCAATTTTTACTATATGCTACACAAGGCAAAACACTGTTATCATATTCCTGTGGTACCGTACCTGCTTTGAAAATATACAGTAATGTGGCCATCAAGAGGAGACCACAAGTAAATACAGAAAAAATTCACTACTTCCTGATATTTTATCACCTCCAAACACTGAACAAGCAATAAAACATGTAACATCCTAATGGTTCCTATTTAAAGTTAAACCAGGACTGAGAAGGACATTTGTCTCACTGAATATGTATTTCACATGCACATTTCACAGTCAAGGAACATCTGCATTTGAAACAACCCATGGTTGCTACAGTATGAGGAGAGAGCACCCTGCAGGTCTTGCAGCACTGTGCTTAATGACCTCCATCAGATGAGCACAACCATGGGACAGGAGGGCAGCCTCTGCCCCAAGCAGCCCTAAGATGCTCTCAGAACAAACATACCCCTTCCATCCTCCCCATACACATGGCACTGCTAGAAGGTAAAGGAATAAATGTTGTTGCCCAGATGAAGCTCCTATACACCAACACCCTAACCATTCCAAGGCAGGTCTTTAAGAAGGCACAATGGAGGGCTGCGTTTCCAAATATTCCTTACCAAAAAAAAAAAAAAATAATTAAAAAAAATCAGCACCTGTTCAGGAAATAAATGCTAATTTGTTAACATAGACCTGGAAAACACACGTTCTCTAGCAGATTCCAGCAGCAAGCATCTGTTCTGTGTTTCTGCAAAGGGGAAAACCAAATATATCCTTATTCTTAACCTGTTTGCAACAAGGTATTTGTTCATGGCTTTGTAGCAGGAAAAAATTGCCTTTATTTCTGTGCCATTCCTAGTCTCATTGACACAACCAAAACCACAGTGTATTGCTTTCTCCTCTCTGTAGTGGCACCATTTCACTTACACTTCAGTTTCTAAAGTTACTATAAACTATGGGAGCTTTTAGAAAGCTCAGGAGAGGAGGAAAGCAGCAATGTCAGACAGTAGATGCTTGCCTTTCCTTCAGCTGCCAACTTTGCAGTGTTAGTCAGTAGAAACCAGTCCTGAGCACCTGGAAGAGTTTTGAGTGTTAACACATCCCCCTCCCACTGAACTGCTGTTAAAAACAAAGCTGACTCCTGCAAGACTGAGAATCTCTCTTAGAGAGCCGGAGTCAGAAAATCTCTTGAGTTCTTGTCTACAGCTGAAGCTGGAGAAGAGCCTCTGCCACTGAAAACGATAACATAGTTACACGCAATAATGTATTTCTTGACAATTTAGTTTTCCTTTCAGGGGTATAGCCACCCATAACCCTCCTCCACCTGCTCTCCTTCCCTTATACTCACCTCTTCCACATACAGGGCATTTCACAGCTGTTCACATCATACTACATCTTCCCTTCCCCTGCAGCACTCCTAAATCATCAAAACCTGTGCTACCACCATATACGGCACTACCACAATCTCCAGTTCAAAACAGTTCTGCTCTTAATAGAGGACTGACTCTATACTCAAATTCACCCAAATTACAGAAGCAGTAAATTTCTTTTTAGCATTCAAGTTAAAACATCCTCAGCCCCCCGCATACACCGTGTCGGTTTCTCCCACTCCCTGATAACATTTCCATTTATGCCCCACATCACAGCTCTGAACATTTAACAATTCCATTCCCTGCTAGCAATATTTGGCAATAAGATCTCTTTAAAGAAGGCTAATTACAGACTTCACTTGAACAGAAATTGGTACGGGGCCAATCTGTAAGCTCTTTAATAAGCATTCAAACTTCACTTCATGCCAGGCAAGACTTTGTTCTCCACCAGGAGCAGCAACATAGTTCTAAAAGCAAAAGTGGAAAGCTTGCCACTGCAAGAGGGAAGGTCACGGCTCCAATTTGTCTTGCAGCACCACACTTTCTCCACATGAGTCTTTCCCTGGAGATACACTGTCTGTGTTTCCTAAAAGAAAAACTAAGGTAATCGGTTCAGATATCACAAAAATAATTAAAAGTAGTCACAAAAAAAACCCCAGCTGACAGTTGTATCAGAAAAGGATCAAAGTCCAACATAACAGAAAGTGGGTCAAGGACTTAAAAATGAGGAACTGATAAAATTTAGGATGCATGGTCACATATCACAAAGGAACATGGCATTTTCTAAGAACACTTGTGTGAAGATGAATTTCAAAGGGATGGAAAAACTCAAGGCAAAGTCTCTCAAACACCTCAGTATCTAGTCCCATATCAGGACAAATGCTTTCTGCCTATATCTGCCAGACAGCACAGAAAACAGCAACCCCACTGCAGGATGCTCGTCTCCACCTTTGTACTGCTGCTACTTTTGCTCTCTGTAAGCTGTGCCCACAACGCCTGGTGAAATCACATTTCAGCCAGACCATTTTGCTGAGGGGAATTAATGCAAGACTCTGCAAACCATCCTCTGCGCTACCTGCCTGGTAACTAGGGTGGAAATTGAAAAGGGTAATGGATAAAATAATGGTCAACAGAAAAATGGTCCTGTTTTTAAGATACAAGACCCAGGAAAACTACGCAGGAACTTTCTGTGCAATGTTAGACAAGCCATCATTTTCCACTGTGGTCAAAAACTACATGGCATCACATGCAAGATGTCACACCTGATATAATAAAATATAGTATATATACACTACATATATATATAATATCTGCTGTTGGAGTGGCTGACTGCCCAGGGAATCCTCACTGAAACCTGTGAGAACCACAGGCACTGAGTACACAGTCTCCAACTGGGAGCTCAACCCACAGGCACTTTAAAAAGAAGAGTTTAAGTGTCACACACGTAAAGCATACACATCAATAATGACTATTTGACAGAGATTAAACCCATTAATATCTACAACACCATCAGCTTTTAGCATATGTAAGGGTTTTCCCCTCTGAGAGATGCCACACTAAAAGAATGACTTGTGACAGTAGCAGACTTTTCTTATATGTATAGGAGAGCCTTTAAGAGGTCAATTGCTTTGGCAAAAGAGCTACACACATACTCCCTAGACACTATTAAAATATATTTTAATTGTCTTGGGGGACACCTTTGGGGGCAGGGAAACAGAACAATGGTACAACTGCAGAGCTTCACACATTGATTTTGAAAGGCAAAACACAAGTCTGACCACTCCCAAACCCCTAAAAGCTGACAATAAAAAAATGGCAGGAAAGGAAATCTCTTTTTCCAGCCTTTTTCTCTGATGTACACATACAGATTTTACTGAAATGTTTGCAGGATTTTCCAAATGAAGATAGACCTAGCAGGAAGAATTTAACCTAGAATATCAAGACTATCAAAATACAGGCACCCGAACACAGACTACCATAACAGGAAAGAGCAAGAAACACAAAACATGTGTTAATAAATGCTCTAATTATTAACACACACACACAGAGCTCATTACAAGTGCCAAGGCATCTGAAAGAAAAAGCACTATTCAAATACAGATATGTGACAGCAGCGGTATCACCACCATATTCTCCAACTGGTTTTGATTCAATTCAGTGGACATCCAGTTAATCCCACAGGACAGTATCATTCACTTTTATAATAGCTACTGACCTCATTTCTGTGATTGAGCCCTGCTGTAGTGTTATGACTAAATGTGGCAAGCAACAAATAACACTCTGTCGGCAGCCAGTGCCTGTCCTTTCTCCTTTCAAAGATTTCATTCATTTCTGCATTTTTTAAAGTCATGCTGCTTCAAAACAGTTGATCCAGATGGTGGATATTCGGATTTTAACCTTCCCTCATGGTGATATGGCTCAAGAAAATAAAAACTGTTGCTACCTGCTGCTGACCTACTTCTCTCATTTTTTCCTGCCATATGACAGAATAAACAATACAGTTCATTGAACCTAGTGTTCCACACCTATCCACCACTATGTAGCAATTACAAAATAAAGCTAATAGAGGAAGGAGGAGGAAGGAAAAAAAAAAGCAGCATGATCCAGTGGAGGGTAGGGAGGAGCAACTCTCACCTCTATCATAGTCATCTTCCTCTATTGCTTTTTCCTGAAGCCTCTGAAGCCGCAAGATCAAGGATTTTATCTATCAAAAGAGAAAAAGTTAATAATTAAGAAGCTCCACTTATAACTATTTAGACTATTAACCTCTACATAATATCGATTAAATGGGTTACTACATTGCTCGAATGGCACAATTTTAAGCCCAACATTTGTTAAGCAGACAGACGAACCTGGAAGTCAGCTGAACTGCAGCTACTTGAGCCAAGCACGGCTTTAGTCCAAACACAGACAGAGGAAAACAAACAATATTTCTTGAAAAGCAAGAGAGATCGTATGATAGTAGTATGTAGTCAATGAGCTTTCATTAAAATATAATTTAGGCTTATCTACATAACGTTGATGTTTGCTTTTTCAGAAACATTCACATTGTAAAGCAAAACATCAAGAGCACCTATATCACATCCAAAGTTTCCTTTCACACCCAAAAGGAAATTCTTACCACAATAAAATTTTATTTCAAAAGTTCTCTCTGGTAACATGAAGGATCTGGACCAAAGCTCTTTATTTACTGAAAATGTGTAAGGCTTCACCGGCCAAGTTTTACTGTTAGAAGAATTTGGTTAGAAGGTATCCAGTCCTCTCCTCATTGCCACGCCAGCCACAGCCTAACTTGGCTACAGTTACAAAACTGAAAAGTGCTTTGTTCTTACTACATTTATATGTACATTTATATGACCTGTACAAACAAGCCACTATCAGCACTGAAAAAGGTAAGCCTGGAAAATGTAGCAGCATATATTCTCATAGCCCAAAGCCTGACAGTGCTTGGGAAAGCATTTTCCAACACAAGAAAATCCATACTTTAGGCATTCTGCATTTACAAATGATTTTGTTCCTCCCTGAAACACTTTCATATTGAAAACCCTATATTTAAACTCTAAATTGCATAGCGCAATATAGGTACAGCCAATGAACAACTGAGAAACACTTGGTTATCGTGACTACACTATCAACACACAAATCAGGTAAGACATTTAAATTAATGGTATCTCTTCTAAATACATTATGTGAAAGTATACTAGTTATAAAAGAACCACAAAAAATAAAGCCAGAAAAGAATCCCCAAAATGCTTGATTATTAATAGGCTACAGGATGCCCCAGAGGAAATACCAGAACAAACAAAACGCATCATATATACTCTGTTTTCCTCAAGGCTTTATTTTATTCTGTATTTCACATCCGGAAACTCCAATCTTTTTTCTCCGAGGCTAGCGAGGAACATGTAACATATTGAAGGGAGGAGCACTGAATCCACACCATAAATTATTTTCTGTATTTTATGCCATACTTCTGATAGAGTTTTAAAGCAGCCTGCAGTAGGAATGATTAAAATGACACTTTTTTCATAAATATGATGTATAACCACCATTCATACCGAAAGTACAGATTTGCTGCTGTTTGCAGTGTTTATGCCATCACACGTTCACAATGGCAGGTCATTTAAAGTCTACTTGGGTACCACAGCCCAGGTGTGCCCATGGCAAACTGACTGATGCTGTCAGAGTAAAGCGCTTTCTATTTTGGGACTCAACTAATCAAAGAATTGCTTCAGCGTGGCATGTCATGTATCTGTACCATATGATGAGCACTTTGCTTTTTCTGTGCTTATTGAAAAGAAAAAAAATTAACAACTTTGGTATTGTCTCCTTTTCTTGACTACAGTTGCCTTTGCCCCTTTCTGAAAAGTTTGAGACTTGCTCAATATCATTACAATAGGAAGGTGCTACAAATTAAACACACTCAACTGGCTAACCAAGGGCAAAGACATCTGAGGGCACAAATCCCCAATTCTCCATTCAATGAACTAATGAACACAGAAATTAAAGATAGTAATATTTCTTTTGTGCCTATCAAATAAGTATACTGAAAAAAAACAGAAAAATAATTTCCTATTTTGATTGTATATTCCCAAATTTGAGGCAGATTAATTTCCCAAACCATTGCAGACCATGTGCACATTGTGATTCCAGGCATGAAGCCAAAGAAACTGCTCCACATCAATGCGTGTGAAGTCTGTATATAAGAGAATCTAGTTGGGGTCCTACATGCATCCTCTATGAAAACTAAGTATTGGAGAGCATCATAAGCCCAAGTCAGATGTCATGGAGACTAAAGTAAAAGTTTCACAATCTTCTGTCTTACCCAGAGAGCAGGGTTATGCAAAGCTTCCCTCCAAAGCAGGTTGTTTCACCAGGCCTAAAGACAATACAGTGCATCTCAACAGGTATGCCTGAGCTGAGAAGTGACAAGAACCTGGGCTTCTGAAAGGCCTCCCAGAAAACTCAGGGTACTAATGTGACACTAAAAAGAATAAAAACACCAAACCCCCAAAAAAGACCCCACCAAAACAAGAAAACCCACACACAACACATACCACCACACCAGGAAAACCCCACCACCCACTTAGTGCACCTTGAACAAACTTGTGAAATTTATCATATCCACATTAATCTCTGGATTACTGCATGCTTCATGCATGCACAAAAAAACCAGTATTTAGCTCCTTATGGCAGGTAAGCTCAGAACAGTTTCCCTCTGATGCCCACCCTGCCATCCCAAAAACTGTATAAAAAACGCAACTGATTCTTCCTAAAGTTCCCACACTCGTCTCTCACAAAGAATGCAGTGAATGAAACAGCCTGTACATATGGTAGGTATACATGTGGGTATACACTTGTGCAAAAAGGAAGACTCCTGATTCAACAGGCCAGTACTGGGGTGGAAGTTAAAAAAAAAAGTTCAATTCCCAGTTTGATTTATAACAGGGACTTCATGCCCATTTTAATTCATATAGTACCCATCTATTAGACTACAGGCTACTCTCATACAGCTGCCTCGCTCTAAGAAATCTTTAGCTAAACTTCCACATTTCCAGTTACAAAGTTTAGTGTTGTTAAATCATGGTGCTTCAAGAAAAGAATTCTTGACACCCCAAAATTCTGGATTACACATACTCCAAACTGCAGACAAAACAGCCACCTATAAAACAAAATTATATATGTTGAATTCAGAAACTTATGTGTGACATATTAGAAATGAGAGGATCACAGTTTCAGTAGAACATAGGAATCAGGTTCTGCAACGTCACTTTTTTTTAAAGAACCCAAAAGAAAAGAATATCAGTTTTCTCACTTTTATCAGACTGCTGCTGTAAACTTCTATGAACAAATGTCACAAAAGCCATTAATACCCCAACTCTTACATCAGCTTTGACTTTGGCACTATAAATACAAATGCTTTAGGGGCCAAGGGGAGGAATCAAAGATGAAGTGACTTAACTAACCTTTAATGTACTGCGGTTGCCAAGCAGGCAGTCCTGTAGCACTGGCTCATATTTTTTCAACAAAGCATCCCAGTTATGGTCACTAAGAGTAAAGCTACTTTCGTAGCCTGAGGTGACAGAAGAGCCAGCAGATGCTGCATCTGAGGAATCTGTAGAATATGAAAATGTTGCATCTGTATCTGAAAGAGAGACAGTCTCACAGTCCTGCAGTTTATCATTTGCTGTGGTCTCATTTTCATACTCCAAATCTTCTCTGGGCTTGGAGAAGCAACACAAAGCTCTTGAGTGCTCACAAGTCTGTGCTGTCTCCTCTGACTTCTGCAGATTCCCTCCAGTGCTGGGATGCAGAACATACTCAGCTTCCTCAATGACCGACTTGCTTTCAGCATCACTTTCTCCACAGGACGAATTCAGGGAGAGCTGTATGAAGCTGAAATTTGAACTAAAGCTGTCATGTGCACCAACTGAACGAGAAACATCTCTGTTTTGATATTCACAGTTGTTATTCACTTCTCTCTGATCCAAAGCATACATGTTTTGGGACTCACTCACTTTAGCACCGTGGCTCTTCTGCCACGCACAGTATACAGCAGAAACACCCCCTTTGCTTGCTGCTGCAGCAGGGTAAACCGGTATCACTGTGCTTTCCGACCGTGAACTCTTGTAATGTGAAAGATTTTGGCAGCTCCCCAGCAGATTTCCAGTAGTGGCCAATGCGCCATCAGTGGGAACTACAGCACTATTTGCAACTGAACTACAGTGTAAAAATTCAAAGTTATTTCTGTATTGTCTGCATAGAGAGCCATTCTCCAAGTCTCCACAATGCTGCCTGCCATGTTCGAGCTCTTCTGGGCTGAATGGCTTGCAGGCACCCAGGGACTGCAACTCTATCTGTCGCTGAGCTTCTGGCCTCATGTATCCAGGTCTTTTTGCCAGTTTCTTTTTACGAAGAGAGCCTGCAGGCATTAACTGCTCCTGACCATCTAAGGGAGGGGAAAAAAAAAGTCATTAAAGTGTTTCTGCAGTTTTCTAGGCTTAAAATATCATACCATC